AGCTTTCAGTCTTCCATAATTAACAGTAAAACCTTGAGGAACCAGAATGCTTGGGAAGTACTTTGTGGTAGTAAATGAAGTTCTGGGTTAACCGTTGAACTTTGTTGTTAACCCGGGTGTTCCATACTGATTGACAGTCATATGCCCCCTGGGAGGACCTATTAAAAACTGTCGGCCCTTCTTGAAAGGGGCATTTGCAAAACCTTTTGGCTTAAACCATTTGGGGGGATTTACAGGGTCTCTCAGAAAGGCCAAACTCGGGCTCCCTGTGAGGTAGCCAGTGAAATACCAGTGACCCCCACCACACCTGTCCTGCCTGACTCCAAGGGGCCCCACACAGACCTCTCCTCACAGGACCCTTTGACTCCCACAGTGAGGAGGACAGGGACTGGTAGTCCCTGTGGACAGACAAGGAAACTGAGGCTCAGAGAGGTGAGCACACCTAGGGGAAGTCCAGGGTAGGGCAGGAGCTAGACCAGGAAGAAGATGGTTTTGAAATCCGTGGTAGAGACACGGAGCTTCTGAAAATGGCCACCGGTGCTAGCATAGGGCACCTATGAACCGATTCCAGAAGATTCCCTGGAATCACAATGTTGTCTTTTTAAAACGAAATCCCTGATGTGTGTGTGAACTAGCTCCTACCCCTCGGTCACTCTTAGCACATCATCCAGTCGCCCTCATCACAGTCTGACATACCTTGCCTGCGTGGTTCTTAATAGATACCCCCGCGAGAATGTAATGTCGGCAGCCCCAGAACCTGGCACCCATCGGCACCCCCAGACACTTGCTATAGGAAAGTATGGCTAAGTTGGAGTTGGTGCGGGTGCCAGAGCAACTTGTTCTGGTTAATGGAGGGGTGTTGCTCAAGGTTTTGCAGTCTGTGGGTCTGAGGTGGTCTGTCTGGCACTCGGATCCCTGTCACCCTACCCCCCAGTGCCACAGCGCACACCAACTCAGCTTTGGTGTCTTCTTCCTTTCAGTTCTTTGCATGTTTAGTGATGATTGCCTACGGAGTGAGCGCTTTCTTCAGCTTCCAGGCCTGGCGGGGCGTGGGCAGCAACGCAGCCACCAGTCAGATGGCTGGCGGCTACGCCTAGGCCACCTGTGCCATGGCCCACCTTGGGGCTGAAGGCTGCAGCTGGGTCACAGCTGGGTCACAGCGCGGGGCGGCCTGCAAGCCCGAGGCCTGAGCCCTTTGTGGAGTCGGCCTGGAAGGGACTATGCCTGCTCCGCACTGCTCCTCAGACCCGGGCTCACCCAGCGCTCCTTCGGAATCGGGATCCTTCCTCTGGTTTGGCCCAAGTCGGCAAGCGCCTGGGCTGGAGAGAGGCCCATGGCTGACACCACCTGCCCGTCCCCCGTATTTAGTGGAAGGTGACAGGGGACGCGGGGCTCTCCGCTTTGTCTTTAGAGACTCCAGTGTCCAAGGCTGGAGCCCAGTCTTCTCACCAACACTAAATACACTAACGAGGACTCCAGACCTGCAGCCGCTGGCCCACCGTAGAATAAGCCTAACAAGCCGCGCGTATTTACCTTAGTCTTTGCCCTGGGACTGCAGAGCGAGCTCTCTGAAACCGGCCTCATTCCTTCAACCGCAATTCTGACCTGACCCTCCCTCCCTCAAGCCAACAGGTGGCTTCTAGGGAGTCATCTGTGGAAAGAGGGTTAGGATTTCTGACAGCATGGTCGTCCTTTTCCTGCATTTCAAACATACCAGTTATTTAAAGCAATCGGTCTTAAGCACCTTCTCAGCGATTAAAAACCTGGCCAGGTTTCCGTCCGGTACCCAAGCCCTTGTTTGTAGTATCCCCTCTGGGAAAAGCTAACCGTGCCACCTGCTTCCCGGATGCTGTTGATTAGGCACATGGCACATGGGACATGGAGGAGGGAGGGACTCAAGACCTTGCCTGGTAAGTTGTCCCGTGCTTGGTGACTTGGTTCTCTTTGGGTTTTTTTTGTTGTTTTTTACAAAAATAAAGCTGGAAGAACCTATTTGGAAAAGATGTTGGGTAATCATGGTTGTAGACGCTTATACAGCCCAGGAAGCCGCAGCTAAATGTACTGGGAGGTTCAAAATCCGGTTCTGGACTTAGCACCCCCAGCTGCTACTCTGACTTGAGGCCACCTGAGTACCTTCCTGCTTGCTTTCTTTGCCAGGGACAGTTCCCCTTCATGCCAGCTGTCCTGACAGATATAATAGATCCCCACCCCGCCCCCCCGCCCCATTCTCAGAATGGTGTCCTTTTAACACTAAGCCAGTCAGTCATCCCAGCTTTAGGCACATCAAGGTCACCTTGCTGAAGGCGAGACTGCCATCCTGTCCCCTGCCTTGAAAGTGCGCAGTTCAGAGATGAAGTCATCAACGCGAATAACAGGCTGGATCCGGGGGGCCGGCGGCAGACCACAGAGAGGAAGTCCTCCTGACCGAGCTTATGTTTCTGCTGCCACAGAGTAACATGCTTTGGATAGTAAGTAGGCTGAGGGGAGGGCATTTCTGGGCACCCCTTGGTCCTTTTGCAAAAACCCAGGGATAATTAGGATGTAACTCCAGTAGTCCGTAGGCTCCCCTTATCCACGTTCTCGCTTTCTGCGTTTTCAGTTACTCGCGGTCAGCTAGTAGCCTGGGAGCACGCGGTCCTCCTCCTGAGGCTACCAGCAGGGTCAAGCTGCACCAGTCACCTCACTTCATCTCAGCCTGGGGGCCAGGAGTACAGGAAGTAGGATATTTTGAGAGAGCCCGTCACGTAACTCTTATTACAGTATATTGTAATTGTTCTATTTTCTTGGTGTTAACCTCTTACCATGCCTTTCTAAATTGAACTCTGTCACAGGTGTGGACGTACAGGGAGAAACAGTGTGAAGAGGGTTCGGTATTATCCGGGATCTCAGGCATCCACGGGGAGGGGGTGTCTCGGGGCAGATCCCCTGCAGGTGGGGGCTACTGTTGAGTCCAACAGTTGTGGGGGACCTGCTCCAGAACAGAGGGACGGGGTTAAGTCAGACACCCATGTCCTGGTTAGCCTGGGACAGGCCCACGGCCTGCCTGTTGTCCTGGTGTGGATACTAACAGGATCGCTTTTTACTCTCAAGTGGCTCAGAATATGATAAACGGGAGTCATTCCATGATTAAGCCATAAGGAGGGAGTTTAGTGTTAAGATCAACTCATTTTCTTTTGGCTTAAGAGGAAACAAAGTCCTAGGCAAGGTCTTACCAGTTTCTAACCTGCTAACACACAGCCCACTGCACTGCGGATATTAACATGCTTCCTCAAACAACTACCTTTCGGTGAGGCCGATGCCTCCCCGATCCTCAGACCCTGCAGTTGAAGGGTCTGCGCTTCCCTGCGCTTCCCATGGGCGAGGAGGTCTGAGCAATATGACAGGGCAGCTGTCATGGAGACTGGGCAGGATGGCGGGCTTTCTCATCCCAGCCAGC